TAAGTTAAAAAAAATTATACTTATGATTTATGAAAATTAAATGAAATTTTTTAAATATTAAATTTAAACGGAAAGGCCAAAAAATCAGATATTATTAAAATTTAAATTTAAAATATATTAAATTAAGTTTTAAGTATATCATAATAAAGTGTCGTCGTGATAAAGTGTGGTCGTGATAAAGTGTGGCCATGATAAAGTGTGATCGTGATTAAGTGTCGTGACAAAATGTTATCGTGACATAGTATCGGCATGATAAAGTGTCGCATGATAAAGTGTCGCATGATAAAGTGTCGCATGATAAAGTGTCGCATGATAAAGTGTCGCATGATAAAGTGTCGCATGATAAAGTGTCGCATGATAAAGTGTCGCATGATAAAGTGTCGCTAAAGTGTCGCATGACAAAGTGTCGCTAAAGTGTCGCATGATAAAGTGTCGCGTGATAAAATGTCGCTCTAAATTGATTATTACATATAACTGTTTTTTATATAATATAACAAATGTCATTCTGAGTAGGGGAGACCAGTGCTAGTCGGCGCAATTTTTGTCAAAATTATCATAGCTCCGAAATTAATGATCGTATAAGATCGTATACAATCTATACCTTAAATATCTACTTATAAATATATATTGTTATATTTTTTAAATATTTAATAATTTTCTCTCTACAAAAGTTTTAGTAAAAGTCATTTTTTGAACCCAGTATCCCCGAACCCGTGGTTAGTCGGATGTGGTTAATTAGGCTTAAAAAAAATTTCAGATTTTAATATATAGATGCTTTATTTATATAATATTCTATTTACAATTATAATAAATAAAATAACTGGCAGAGAACCCTGCGCCCAATCTTTACATACTCTACATTGAAATCAATCTTCTAAATTATGAAAATTTTTATAATTCTGTTAACATATAATACACACATCTATTAATTTTTTATTATGTTTTTATTTATTTTTTATTAATAATAAATTTACTCAAAATATATCCAATTCTACATTTAAATATATAACATGATTTGATTTTATTATCAGGCCAAAATTATAATCTGATAATTAAAATGTTTATATCCAATAAAATGTATTAATTTGAATCATATTATATTGTCAATTAAAATAGATATATATATATGTTTGCTGGATATAATTCATTTTAAATGATTGATCTTATTATCAGGTTAAAATTTATATATGCAACATATATTATATCTGTGACAATATATATAATACACCATATATAAATATATCACAATATATATATATGAAGATTTTAGTTGCAAAATATTTAGGTCTGTTAATTATATTAAAATTGAAATGTATTATTTTATATTTTAACCTGTAATAAATGGTATTTTTCTTAATGAGATATCATTTTTATACAGTTTTATAACTTCTTCATAATCTTTTTAGTAAAAATTTTCCTATTTTGAATTTTGCATACATATTTGGGTACCATAATAATCAGGGTTGTTAAAGGATCGAGTCAAATTATCGCCGATCCTGGATTCGATCCTAAATTTGTCTATTTCCCCGGATTTATGATTCTGACCTAAATTAAGGATCGTGATCGAGATCATTTTTTTAAATATTCGATCCCGATCCTTTTAGAAATTAATTTTTATAAATAGCAATAAATAAAATAAAAATTTTGAAAATTAAATCAAAATATTATTTAAAAATAAAATATCTATCTACATCTTTTCTTAAACGGCTCGTTTTGAACCTATTTTTAAAAACGGCTAACTCAATATTTCACCCAGAAAAATTTTAGGCAAGCTTTGAAGATTTTTCTCATAGAAGGAATAAAGGTCTAGACATATATTATCGAAATCTCGAGGCTTAGGTAAAAATTTTTTGTCTGAAAAATTGAGTTAGCCGTTCCAAGAAATGGGCTCAAAAGGAGCCGTTTAACAACACTAATCATATTTTATCAACTTCCATTTCACCATATTTAATATTTCAATAATTTCCTAAATTTTATCAAGAACGAAATTTAGAGCCTACAAGTTTTATTTATTTAATTATATTATATATAATATAAATAAATTCTAGGTTTAAATAATGTCTTTTATTATAGATTTAGGAGATAATACATCTACTATTGATGTATAATAATTTAATTATCATTTCTTATATAAATTTCCTTCACTGTATAATGACAGTAACATATTGGCAGCAATAATTCACCCAAAATTTAAGCTAAATTGGCCTTATATTAATATGCCTTAAAATCTGTTGATAAAATAGAGGTTAATTGCCCATTTGGAAAATATACATGGTCAACCACACGATGCTTCAAATGAATCTATGGATGAAATAAATACCCTTTTTGAAAAAATCTTCACAAAATGCTCGTTCCATTAATAATTTTTTTTATTCAAATGATGATTCAATAAATATTTTTAATACTTATGTTAATTAAAAAAAATATTTACTGAATATAACACACCTTTACCATCAAACACTGTGGAGCGTTTGTTTAGTAAAGCTAAACATATGAAAGAAGTGGATGTTTAAATGATAATAACTATTGTTATACTTATATTATATTATTCATTTACAATAATTTATTATTTATTATTTTTATATTAATTAATTTTGCAGAGCTCAGTAATTTTCTTCAGAAATTTAAATAAGAAAAGGATCGTGATCTTGATCTTTTTTTAAAAAATAAGGTCGATCCTGGATTTCGGTCCTCCTTTTTTGAAAAGATTGTGATCGGGATTCGATCTTTTTAAAAGGATCGATTAACAAGCCTGATAATAATATAATAAAAATTGATTGATTGCGCCGATTAGCCACGATTCTACTAACCTCAATGGTGGTAATATTACTAATTTGAACTTAACATATATTTAAGCATTATATATCAATCTGAAACTTTTCCAAATATTAAAATAGATATTTAACTTTCATATAAATATAATGTCCATTTTGTCATGTTTTGAAAATATTGTAATTTCACGTCAAAAACAAGTCACAACAGATAAAAATTTAAATAATTAAATATTATAAATTATTTTCATCTCCAAATATGGATATTGTTGTTAATATATAATTTAAATACTTTTTACTTTGTAACTTATGACCTTTTGTAAAAAACATTTCTTTTTTGATAACCTGTAATTTGAATAGTTTTACTTTTACCTTTTGTAAAAATCTTTTCTTTTTTTAAGAACCTTTTAAATTATATTAATGTTAACATGTAAATATTAATGTGTATATATAGCTGTAAAAATTGTAAGTTTATCAGTTGTAATTTTTATAAAAATGAAATAATAAAATAAATTATACTTTTTCTACTATTTTAATACCTGCCTTCCTTGTGTTTATTAGATATTATAGAATTTTATTTTAGAACTAAATTTCAATTTTTAAACGCTACTTGTTTTAAAATAAAATCCTTTGAATCGACAAACCCCTTGCGCCGACTAGCCCTGGTCTCCCTAGAGATAGACAAAGCCCGACCTGTTCATAACTTTTGTACAAATTGCCCGGCCCAGCCCGAAATTTTTTGTACGAATGCCCGGGCAATTAAATTATTTTCTCGGCCCGGCACTTTAAAATCTTTAAAAAAGTCTAGCCCAACCAGTTAAATATTTTTATGATTTTTTCGGCCCTTCAATATATATTGTCTAATTTTTCCGCAACAAACATACTCTTATAACTCTCCTCTATATCTATTTTTCAATATCCGTTTTATAAATCCATTGTGCTTGATATCTATATTGTGTATTTGTAATTGGATCATATCAGAAATAACTAATTTTTTGTAAATTTACTTATCATTTATAGATTTGGAATTTTATTTTTAGTTAACAGCTCTTAAAATACAAATCATATTACAATTGTTTTACAAATAGTATTAAAAAAAATTGAAATATTAGCTTGAAATTCAAAACAATTTTATAAAATTTTAATGCAAGTGGTAACCTATTAAAATTTTAAGAAAAATCAGAGATTTACAAGGTCTTGACTTATTTTTTTATTTAAACATGTCCTGCCCGGCTTAAATTTTTTATGTCAAATACCCCGAGGATGAGAGATATGATGAGGGGGTTACTCACTGAATCACGGCGAAATTTTTGATATTATTTTTTATTTATTTATTTTTTTTTAATATTATTTTTTTTATTTTTTTTTAAAAAATTTTTTTTTTACATAAAATAATAAATAAATGATCATCTGCATTTTGGTGGAAATTTTTATCATAATTCATTATTTTACAATAAAAGGGAGTATTTAAAAAAACTTGTGAAAATTTTCATAATTCATTAATTTCACAATAAATACAAGACGTGTTTTATGAAGCTATTAAGTTAGGACTATTAAATCAAATACTAAATTATTTATTAATCAATTTTTTAAAATAAATTTTATTTTGTGAAAAAGGTTGATATTTCAGAGAAGAAATAGTTATTTTTAGATTTGTTAATTAAATAAGCACTTGTTTAATTTGGGGCATTGTTGGGTTTTAAATCTTTGAAATTGAATGACCCATAAAATTAAATATGATTTAATTGATACTCATATATATATAATATTGTTTTCAGTTATTATAATTTTATTAAAATTGTAAAATTACAAACAATAAAATAGTTAGGCTTAGGACTATTAAATCAAATTGTTATAATTAAAATATGACTTCATTCTACCAGACCAAACAATAAAAAAAAAATTTTTTAATTAAAAAAATAAAATAAAAATAATGTTAAAAATTTCCCCGTGATTTAGTGAGTTTCCATAAAATCATAAGATAACAAAAAAAATATTGAAAATGTGGGAACCGATTTTTTTGAAAATGATAAGCAATACTAGCACATCCATGCTATATAAATTTTTTAAATATAAGTAAACTCACCTCAAGTGTATAATTTTTCATATTTCATTATTTTTAAAAAATGATAATTTATTAATTTAATCAATTTTTTTAGAATAAAGTTAAATTTGGGTTGATTATCGTCTGCTTATAATTGTTATTTATTTCAAGAAAATTTTTATAAAATGTCTGCTAAAAGAAACTTGAAAAATAATTTTACTAAAGTGAATGATGATGCTCTAGGTCTAGATGACTCTCTATCAATTAGTTTTGAAGATATTTCTCCAGGTTTTTATTTTTTAAATCTTTCATTTTTATATGGTTTGGCAGAAAAAGAGAAAGTTGTAAAAGAGAATCATAATAAAATTAGGAAGAGAAAAATATTATCTCATAAAAATGATGAAGAGAAGTTATATATATTAATATGATATTAATAAATTATTGCTTAAAAGAACTGATTTAGCCGAAGTTTTGGATATATTTAAAGGTATAATTTTAGATATTTCTTAAAAAGTCTTCAAATTTAATCTTATTATACTAGAAAATATATCGAAACAAATTGGCACCAAACAGAAAAGAATTGAAAATTGGACTCAAACATTATATAATAATTTTGAACAAAAGGCTCAACAAAATTCGAAAGTTCAGAGCGAGGAAAGGTATAAATTGCAAAATTTTATTTTATGAACAGACCTTTATATCAGAAATAAAATACTTGATGGTTTTAAGGAAAGAATGGACAATACCTTTATGGGATGGGAAAAGGATAATAACAATCTTAAAGAGCATTTAGAGAAGACTGAAGTTCATATATTCTCAAGCTTAATTATTTTTTTATATTACAAATTGAAATTTTTTTATAGAAATATTTATTGCAACAAATTCAGTTAATTCATCAACAAAGATCTTGTCAAATTAAAAATTTAAAAGTTCTAAAAGATACTAGTCAAGCATTTCTTAAAGTAAATATATGGCCTTTTCTAAACATGGCGTTTTTCTCAAAACGGAAATAAATAAGCACAGCTTATATAATTCGAAACATAAACTAATAAGCTTTATTTATTTTTTACCATTTTAATAAATACGCCCTGCCTAGAGGTTTCTTTTGTGAATTTTTAAATTAATTATTTTGTTAGGATTTTCATGAATTAGAAAATACTCATAATAGCCAAAGGGCGAATCTTATGAACGAAATGAAACAAGAAATGGATAAAATTTACGAAAAAATTATGAATAAAACGGTAAGAACTTTTTAAAATCATTTTCAATATATAATTTATTTTATGGGCTTCTATTAAAAAGCATCAAGATGATATGTCTCGAGTGAAAAATAATCTGAAAAAATTATTTTATTAATGATTCCTTTTTTAGAAAATTTTTATTATATAGTATACCTTTTTTTATCTTGTTTACCACTTATAATCTTAATGCATTTGTATAAAAATATTTAATTTTGTGTTATTATTTATTTTCTAAATTTTCAATCACACAAAACAATATATAATCAAATAAATATTTAGCTCCTGTTATCGTGCTATAGTCAGTTACCGTAAATGCCCCTCCCACTACTTGTATTAAAATTTAAAAACCAACTTGGCCTGTAGCTAGGAAGTTTCAGTTGAGAATTGGGACGGGGGGTGCAAATTATATTTAGGGGTCAATATTATTTTTTTGGAAGCGGGGGAAGGGGTTCTGTATCTATAAAGATAGAGAGAAAAAAGAAAGAACAAAATTAGACAAAAAGGATTTTTTTTAGAAAAGATCAAATTAAGTTTGGTCAGGCGCGTACGCAGGAATTTGGTCTGGGGGGGAGGGGGGATAATAAATTTTTTGAGAAATATGTTTTTTAAAAATATCAAGCATAAATTTATTAGGACTAATAACTATTCCTAATACACAATTTTAAATTAATGTGAATTATAAAAAAATTATATGTAAAGAATCACTTAAATGACCCAAAATAGAAATTTGAATTTTTTGAGCCTTTACACAAAAAGTTTCTTAGGAATAATTGTATTTTGTGTGTTATATATTTACAATGTAAAATCCAATCTTCGTTGGGATTGAGCTAATTTTTCAATTATCTCATCCTTGCTGGTCGTCAAATGCCTATGTATATTCAAAAGATCCAAACCTTTCAATCTACTTTCAGATGTTGTACTTCTTGGTGTTTTTCAGAGATCTGCAGGCCCGGCCCCTGGGCCGGACAGTATTTTAATTTTTTTAATTATACCCGGGCTGGGCCCAATTTTTTTTAAAAAACACCCCTGCCAGGCCTGAATTTTTAAAAAAAAAACACCCAAGCAGGGCCTGAATTATTTTTAAAAAAACACCCAGGCCGGGCTGTATTTTTTAAAACAGCCTATATTTGAAATCATTATTATTAGCTATAAAAATCAAAAATAAATATAATTTATTTTTAAAAAACCCGGGCGGGCCTGAAAATTTTATTTAAAAAAAAGCCGGGCCAGGGCCTGTAAATATTTCAAAAAAAGCCGAGCCGGTCCTAAAAATTTTTTTAAAAAAGCCCAGGCCGGGCCGTAAGAAATCTTTAAAAAAATCCGGGCTGTGCCCTGCAAATGGTACTTCTGCAGGTCTCTGTTATTCTTCTTAAAAAAGAGAATGTTATCTCATTAGTTTACTAATGGGAAGAGTTTATAAACCCTTGGGAATTTAATCTAAAATGTGTTTGAAATAATGCAGAGCATCCATAGCATTTTTTGGGACTATATCAACCATAGTTAATCTTATAAACATAGTATCCAGCTAGTAAGGCATCATAAGATACTTTAACATCTTCATAATAAAAATCTAACAAATATTTTTTTTTCTATCATTCATTTATTTGGGTTATATTATAAATGTATCTGTATCTAAGATATACTCTTCTACTGATCCAATATTAATGTTTTAACGATGAGCTTGCCTTGCTACAAGTCGAGGGAGACAAATATTAAACACGTATATCTGCTTTTGACTCAACAATAAAATATAAAATATGAAATTCTTCATCAACATTAGCCATAATTTCCTTGAGTTCTGATCAAATGCTCTCCGCTATTCTCATCTTCTTAATCAAGTTAATGTCATGTTTTTGAAAAGTAATACTTAAAATAATTGTATAATTAAATAATACATTCTAATGAGAAATAAAATTTGGAATAAGCATTGAATCCAATAATTTTCTTGCTTCTGAGGAATATTTCTTTCAGGCCATTGTGATATTTCAGTAATAGCAAATAATCGGCTCTTCTAACTCCTTAAAAGCTGTTACTGCTGGATGGCCGATACTCTATCTCGTTGGACAAGGTTGCAATTTCTTTTTCCCTGTTGGACCAGAAGTTTCAGAAATAATTATTATTTGACTAGAAATTTGAAAATGGTAGATAAATATTACGCCACTAAAAATTTGAAAATAATAAGTAAATATTACCCCAGAAAACTTGAAATCGAAATTAATTGATAAAATAACTTATGAATATGATAATAAATGTAATATAATATATATTTAATATGAGAAACGAATAAATATTAACATATAAATTAATATAAACAATAATATTTTTGAAAAATATATCCGGCATCTGCATTTTTTGACTTGGGGGGGGGGGGGGGTCCAATGCATTTTGATGAAATAAATTGTAAAGGTATTTCTGAAAAGGCCTTAGAAAAACTGGCACAATTGGCAAATATATTGAGTGTTAAATTATGTAACGAATTGTGTTCATTTGCCAGTGTTTTAATAGTAGAATTAAATGAAACGGACTATTATATCGTATGTACCAGTGAGAAGTCAAATGTAGTTGATGGAATATTACAATATGATAACTCAGAGTGTGATAATAAATGAAGTGTATAATATGCGTGTATAAAATTCTTAAAAGATACAATATGCACACAAGTGCATAAACTAATTTATTTTGGCATATGAATACATTTTAACTTTGTCATTTACGCAGGTTAATTGCGAGAGAACATTCAGTAAATTAAAAATTATAAAAAAAAAGGTTGTTAGCTAATATAGGCCAAGAAAAATTAGAAGCATTTTATATGCTTATCGTCTCACACGATTCTATTTTTATTAAAAATGTAAATCGTTTGAACTTATTTTCAAAAATAAGAGGTAATAAAAATCATGTAATTAGAAGAAGCCATTTAAGGTAACCCGGGCGAAGGCCGGATAAAAGCAGGCCAAAGGCCAGCAAAATAGAAGGATATGAGGGCGAAGCCCCCATAAAAATGAGGCCGCTATAAAAAAATGCCCACGAGGCCGTAGCGTCGCCAGGCCCCTAGGGCGCATAGTTTAGTCAAAAATAAATTTTTTTGATAATAAAAATATTTTTTAAAAAAAATTAAATAATACCATTTTCTGAATCTCCTTGAAAAGTTATACAAGATTCTGTATTCATTTTTTAAAAATAATGTATATTTAACAGGGGCGCGTTTAGTCAAAAAAAGAAGAAATTAAGTGTTTTTTCCAAATCTCAATAAGTTATAAATAATTTATAAACTAAATATTAACATTTTTTGATTCCTTTTAATGAGCTTAATACGATTATGCTTTAATTTTTTTATGAAATAAGCTTCTTTGATAGGGGGCGCGTAGTTTAGTCAAAAGTATTTTTTGATAATAAAAAATTATTTATAATACCATTTTCTGAATCTCCTTAAAAAGTTATACATGATTCTGTATTCATTTTTTAAAAATAATGTATTAGTTTAGTCAAAAAAAATGAGAAATTAAGTGTTTTTTCCAAATCTCAATAAGTTATAAATCATTTATAAACTAATATTAACAATTAGTGATTCCTTTTAATGAGCATAATACGATTATGCTCTAATTTTTTATGAAATAAGCTTCTTTGATAGGGGGCGCGTAGTTTAGTCAAAAAAAATTTCTTTTGATAATATAAATATTTTTTTTAAAAAAAATAAATAATACCATTTTCTGAATCTCCTTGAAAAGTTATAAATGATTCTGTATTCATTTTTTAAAAATAATGTATTAGTTTAGTCAAAAAAAATGAGAAATTAAGTGTTTTTTCCAAATCTCAATAAGTTATAAATCATTTATAAACTAATATTAACATTTATTGATTCCTTTTAATGAGCATAATACGATTATGCTCTAATTTTTTATGAAATAAACTTCTTTGATAGGGGGCGCGTAGTTAAAAAAAATTTCTTTTGATAATATAAATATTTTTTAAAAAAAAATAAATAATACCATTTTCTGAATCTCCTTGAAAAGTTATACATGATTCTGTATTCATTTTTTAAAAAATAATGTATATTCAACGAAGGCGCGTAAGGGGTGTAGTTTAGTCAAAAAAAGAAGAAATTAAGTGTTTTTTCCAAATCTCAATAAGTTATAAATAATTTCTAAACTTAATATTAAGATTTTTTGATTCCTTTTATGAGCTTAATACGATTACGCTTAAATTTTTATGAATTAAGCTTGTTTGAAAGGAGGCGCGTAGGGGCGCGTAGTCTAGTCAAAAAAAAATTTTTGTTTTTTTAAAAGCCCACTAGGTTATAAAAAGTTTAAAAAGAGAACATTAACCATTTTAATACCTTTTAATAAGCTCTACGTGAATCTATGTTCATTTTTTATAAATTATTAGTCATTTAAAAAAATAATTTTTTAAAAATTTTACTATGTTACCATTTTAAAAAAAAATAAAATAAAACATTTTCTGCCTTATCTTATGAAGCTTAATACGATTCTAAAATAAAATAATTTAAATTAAGCTTTTTTAATAGGGGCATAGGGGCGCGTAGTTTTCGGGGGCAGTGACCAAAATTTAAAAAAATGATATATAACTTTACTGAAAAGATGGCAATAGATATCATACCTTAGAATATATAATCTACTATTAACAATAAATAAAGTCAATTTATTTTTTTGGGAATTCAATACTGTAAATCCTAAGTTTGTATTTGAAGCTTGCTAAGGATTGTTGTGTGTCAATTTAATAGAATAAGTCATCACAAGGTAAAAACTTTAATGTTTCAAAGTAACCTTTAAATAAGACATACAATATAATTAAAAATATATTTCTTTATATATATTCTTTTCTCAATCATTCTAAATTTCCTAATTCATTGTCATCTTATTTTTATTTTATATATCAAAAAATATCCTTAAAAATTAACAACTCCAAGGCCAAAATTTAAAAAATGATATATAACATATTACTGAATAGCTGGCAATAGATATAATCATACCTTAGAATATATAATTTACTATTAACAATAAGGTCTGTACTTTTTTGTGAATATAATACTCTAAATACTAATTTTAAATTCTGAGGTAATTGAATTTCGTTTACGATATTATTTATACACCATTTTCTTGACCACTACGTAACTTTTTATCGATTCGAATGCGTATAAATAAGAAAAAAATATAGCTTTTATTTCTTGCTAATACGCCATTTGGCGTAAGTCTATCATCTCCCTCATCGTGAAGGCTCGACTTTAGATAAGAGACGAAGCCTTAAGTGAATAGAATATTCCAATCTTTCTATAAACACGAAGAGGGTACTCGTGT